CAACACATCATCGTCACCGCTGGAGGATAGGAAGTGACCGAGGATGGAGCAGCCAGGGAAGAGGAATGAATGGTTTCGACTTCGACAGCAGGTGAGGTCGAAGGAGTGAATTACGGATCGTGGGTGGCAGAAGAAGATGGAGGACCCATGTCACTATCGAAAGTGCGATCACCCTTGCTGGAGGTGACGGAATCTGAGAAAGGGACAAAGAACATAAAAGAAGAAGATTTAGGAATCGGAGGAAGATGGCTGAAGGAAGAAAAGTACTAGCCTATCAGAGATGAAATTGATAGAAAATTCCAGGAGAAAATAAAAGTAGATAAACATGCAAAGGCCAAATAAGAAGAGGGAAGAAAGGGAAACTTCGCATCGTTGTTGATAAGTAGTGAGGAAGTGAGGATTTTCCTGGACGGCAGTGGACTAAGTAATAAGAACTCTATGAACAGGTTGAACTTTCATCGAGTGCGGGGAAGAAGAATGCGAGAGTATAAATGCAAAAATTGTTGCAGAAGTGAAAAACCTAGCAAGGTGGACCAATGCATCCTTTTATAGTGGGAAGGAGAAGGGAAGCAGAGAAGTCGATCCATCTCAGTCTCAGGATCAAAGGCGGTTCAGTGGTTCTGATCGAAAGTAGTAGGAGAAAAGACAAGTCAAATTAGATCGTTGGATTAAAGTGAAAGCAAACACACGAGATCAATCTCACATTAAATGGGGAGCACTGTGCGAGATCCGCAAGGACATAAGGCGATGGGACGTTTGGACTGGAACAGTCACGTGATGACAGGACGGTTGAACAGGACGGGTGTTGACGCATGGGAACCATTTGAAATTAAAAATTCAAAAAGAGGAAGCCCGACAATAGATCAAATAAATGCACGGTAATGATCTCAGAGCAAGGATGAAGCTCGAAATGGCAAGAAGAGAACCAACATGCTAGAATCGAAAAATAATCCATTTTCACTCTTGGATCGAGTCATTTGACTCGACCAAAGTAAGAGGGACCAGATGATATGGGATCACAACACCAGGTTGAGTAGATCGAAAAAGTGACCAAACCAGACTAAATCAGTCACAAGGTCGAACGGAGAAGGAAGACCCTACAGGTCAAAAGTGCCACCGGTCAAGAGGATATCAAGGATGCGAGGAACCAACAGGTCAAATGGGAGCCCCTGGATGGCTTAGTGGGAATTCGACCTGAAAGAGCACCTAGTCGAAAGATCGACCAGATGGACGTAACAACAGAGCTCGACATCGATGAGACTCCACCTCAAAGTAATTGAAGTACCCATCAACTCCCGTCTAAGACCAAAATAATTGGGCTACAATGTTACATTTTTTTTTCCATCTCTCATTTACTTGTCCTTATTTCAGAACAGAAGATTGAAGAAAACCCACCATCATAAAATGAATCAAATTGGTAAACTTAAAATTTTCTGCTAGAAGTCAACTCAAGAAGATACATCTTTTTCGAAGCTAAATAGGAACTTCAAAGTGAAGTGTGCTTTCTTTGGAGCAATGTAAAATGAGTGGTTCATTGAGAAGCTTTTATAAGAGTCCAAGAGCAAGGACAAACACACTGTAGCGCGGTAAAAATTTGTACATATGATCAACGTGTAATAACAAATTTCGTTTAGAGTAATGCTACATTGTCAAGCTAGTATACAACTAGGTTGACAACATAAGTGAAAACATTCAAAAAAATAAAAATAAAAAAATACACAAGTTGATGTTTCACTTGTGTTGTCAACCTAGTTGTACACTAGGTTGGTAATGTAACATTTTTCTTTCGTTTATTGATTTATAAACATGAAAAATATTTTACAAATTAATTTCTCGAATCAAATGAATATTGTGGATTACAATAATTTTTCTTCTCTGATTCTTCTCACGAACGATTTTGAGTCTTGAAGCAAAATCTTCGGCTTGATCTTCTCCTTAACTTGATTTGACTTGAATTAACGTTAATCTGAGGGTCAACGCCATAATTTCGGGTCAAATGTCATATTATTATAAGAACGTGAACACAAGTTCTTAGTCTTCGCCGCAAAGTAGATCCTAGGTCTTCTCCACGTCGATTTTGGGTTTAATAATGCAATTCGGAGGCTTGACAGCTTGTTTCCGGATTAAACGCTAGTCTTGAGAATGAATGCGCTTGAATCTCGCTTCGAATATTCAAGAACGCCTTTGAATTTTCAAGAACACTTGAACCTCGTAGAGAGAATCTCTAGAGCTATTAAACTTGAATATGAATTATGATGTGTTTTTGGATTTAAGGAGAGTTCCCATTTACCGGTGTAAGAGAGAGAATCCAACCAGATTTAAAAATCGTAGAACGCAATTTGATTGGTGCATGATGATTCACATAAGATTTTATAGATCCACTTAAATCTTCCAAGATCTTCTAGAAGATATATGGTTTATTTACCAAAAAATTAGATTTGACACTTTACATTATTTGATTGATCGAGAATTAAAATATTAATTAATTAACTATTTAATTTCAGGAATTAAGTTTTTATGAAAATTCCTAAGATATAAATAAAAAATATAACTTAATTTTTTTAATATATTAATTTTCACGTGGCACCTTTTCATTGTCAATAATGTTTTTTGTATCTACAAATAATTCCTCTAGATTTTTTCACGGACAACGTGTGTTAGAGTGAATAAGTCGCGACCTTTTTTGACTCGGGCTTAGAAGACGTGATATGGACTTATAAAGTCCAAGAGGACTCAAATTGATAAACTTGTTGTCATGTGTATCGAATAGCCCAAAACTTTTATCTATTTGAATACCCCATATGTTGGGCCCAAAGCCTTTTGAATACCCCATATGTTGGGCGTTTATCCATTTGAAAGTCCTTATCCATAATGTTAGGCTGACTTTCAAATTAAACATGACCCTAAGACAGTGTAGCCCAATAAGCTCCCTCAACTTGCACCAATGCCTCCTAAATACGCATGCACAAAAATATATTACGTAAATTCCAATCCTTTTTAAAATCTGAGGAAATAATTAATTTCCAACCAAATCCAAGAAGCATATGCATTCTCCGTCCAAGAAAATATACACGCATGGGCCACAATTTATTCCAAACTTGAATTGAAATATTAAGTTTCCAACTTCAAACATGCGTCCAGGCCAATTCCTCCTCATATCATATTAGAAGATAANGATTGCTCTTTTCTTTTGATTATCGGGTGGACTACGTTAAAAATCTGTAGGCATCCATATCTCAAATTTTCGTCCGCAAGGTGTTCGACTAATTGCCCAAGATGTATTAACACGTTTTTCTTTCTTCCAATATATTCTCGTTCTCCGGTTTTGCTGCCACATATCGTTCAGGTTGCTCGCAGAGTTGTTTGGGAGGCTCGTGTTGTTGCCGGGGCCTTTTACGGGTTGTCCTAGCGTTGTTCGACGTACTCGGGCTACTGTCTGGACTTCAAGAGGGCTGTTTGGGATTAAACTGAGTCGTCCGGGATCTGTCAGGCTGAAGCTATGTCCGAGCTGAAACGGGGCTATTCGGAGTTGTTCGGGTGTTTACCGGGCTGCAACAGAGCTGTTTGGCCGCTGCTGGACTCAAATGAGGCTCTCTCTTGCTGCTGTTCGGGCTGAAACAATGCTCTCCGGCTGCCGTCTGTCTATGGGGTCACTTGAGCGGGTCACTTGAGCGAGTCGCTTATCTTCCGATACTTCTATTTATATTTGTGGCTATTAATCATATTCTTTTTTTTTTTATTTTTTTTGTGGTTACACTTTGTTTGATGTGTCTTGATGGAAGTTTTATTCTAGGTATGGGACTCTTTCGTCTCTCTGATGTACGAGAAGGGTCGTGTAGAGCTTTTATAGGAGACACTAAAGCTATGGTTGGAGAATTGGTACAAGGAGCACCAAATGCTACTCGCATAGTTGGAGTGGTACACGATTCGGAACAACAACTTAATCAGGCTCAACAAATTGTAGGGACGCACTCCTCGTATTGATAGGAGTTATTAATCATCTTGAGGATAGCAAGAAGATGATTTAACAGTTAGATTACAAGTGAGTCAAGTTGTACATCATGTCGAGCACTATTACGAGCATCAGATGGAGTAGGAGCGTTGTGAAGGAGATGGAGCAGAAGCTCCATGATATATAACATCAGATGGCGCTCTGGATGGTAAAGTTGAGGATTTATAGCACAATTTCAAGATGAAAGCGGACGCAATTGCCAAGATGGATGAATAAAAATAGACTCGTCTCACTGGGAAGCCAGCGAATTGACGTTCTTGATTGTCGACTTGCCGCGGAGAGCCACACCTCCAAACAACCAATTTCCATCACTTCGACTCTAGCGATAAGGTTGACAGTCGCTTGGGGACTAGCATCGACGTATGGGAGTGCACGTCTACCTGGACACCTACGCCATGTGATCATTGTGGATAGTTCTGAGGAGGACCCAGGGGAGGACGTGATGGAGTCGGATGGCGATTGATTCACCCACGAATTGCGTTATTATTATTTTTACTTAGTTTGATTATTTCACCCGTGGACGGTGTTGTTTGTGGACTCGTGTCATGATTTTTAGAAGAATTTTATGACTGTTTCGGATGGTGTTGTTATTAATGTTAGATCCAGGGGTAGGGTAATTTTCAAGTGTTTTCCCTATCCATGTTGATGTTATTTGCTACGAGAATCTAAGTTTTTTTTTTCAAACTTGATTAATATTTAATGTTGAATAATTGAACCTATTGTAAATGGCTGAATATCGTGGACGTGGAAGACCTCGCCTTCAGGCGATGATACATAGCCCAATAGCATGGGAATGCAAACCCGAAATTGCGGCCTCCACCACCTACAAGAGAATATGACAACTCAAGCTATCACTCAACTCATGAATCTCCAACAACATGTGCACCAAACCCTAACTCACCTTAAACCCACGATAGGGCATTAGAGCGGTTCTTGCGTTTCAACACACCGACTTTTCTCCGTGAACTTGATGATGCCAAGGTCAAATACTGGCTCAAGCGAATTGAAAGTATCTTTGCGACAGTGCAATACTCTGAGGCACAACGTTTATCTCTAGCTAGCTTTCGTCTGGAATCTGCTGCACACGGTTGGTGGAAGACTGTGTCTGAGAAGTGGACACGAGAGAACAAGGGCTGAACTTGGGAGAACTTTGTGAATTAATTCTAATTCCAATACATCTCACAAGCTGCGACAAGCTAGAAGGGATGAGTTTTACCACCTGAAGCCAGGAGCACTAACTGTGGCACAATACAAGTCCCCGTTTAATCGGCTATCCCAATATTTGCTAGGGTTGATTAGCACTTAGAATGATAAGTTGTATAAATTCACTAGAGGCTTGAGTTCTTCCTTGCAGCAGTGTCTTCTTACAGTAACGATGAACACATATCATAAAATGCTGAAACTTAGGACTTGATTGTTTATGAAATAATTTGTTCAAAATGAGTTATTTTGGTTAACCATAATTAATTTTGAAAAAGGTGGTATAGTTAATTGTTAGTGGAATTTTAAGAATGTATTATATAATATTTAAAATAAAATGATTAAAATTGATTTGATATAAAAGTAGAGATAAATGATTGGAAATGATAGGTAGTTAAAATTATGTGAGTGGATGAATAGTGGATTAAAGTTGATATGATATGTAAGAATGATTGGTTTGTATTATCTAATTATATAAATAATATTAAAGATAGTGAGATTGAGTTAAAGTTGAGTTAGATTTTTTTGAGTATGAAATAAATGTGAGTAAATTATTTCATAAACAATCAAGCCTTTAGCAGTTCATTGGTCAATATGCTCAAGTATCTCCAGTTAAAATTTTAGGTCAAAAGCACCACAATAAGTATGTCAACACTGAAGCCTAGGGGTGGGCAAAAAAATCGATTTTCCCGATCCCGAACCGGACCGAAATGATCCCGTTCCGAAAAATAGGGTTCCAATCAGTTTTTAAATTTTTCGTACCGTTCCTGGTACCGAACCGGTTGAAACAATGTCGGTATCGGTTTTTAATATTTTTTCCCGAACCGTCCGCTTTGTCCCATTTTTTTTTGTACAAAAATATTATATATATATATATGTATGTATATATATATTATATTTATGTTAGTATTATAGACATTATATTAAAAGATTAACCATTTAACACTTTTAGCAAGTTTTTCCCGCCAAATACATTTAATGTCTCTTAAAAATAGAGCAGCATTAGATGTTGCCCTTAAATCATGGCAGTTGTTAATTTAGTTTAGAGAAAATCGTGGCAACTAAAACAAACAACATTAATTACGGCTGATTTAGTATTTAAATGATAAACAAATATTATTTTTTTATGACTGGTTTAAATTTACGTCTGTTTAAAAATAAAAAACTATTTTTGTAATTTCAACAAATTTGTACTCTTTAATGTACGGCTGATTTAAAATTAAGAATTTACTTTTGTATTTTCACAAAAAATCGTATAACGAAGTATGGCTAGAATAATAATAAAAAATTAATTTGTTAAACCATATTTTGCACTCATAGATACGAATTCTCATCAAATTCAAGATTTAAAATTGTGAAGAATGTATATAGATGTGGACTGATTGAAAATATATGATTCCTTAAATTAAGGAATTTTTCCGGTAAAAAAAAATATAAACTTTAAATATAGATTTTATTAGTAGTGTATACCAAAGAATATTGTTACATTTAAAATTCCTATGAAGAAGAATTCTATTAATTTTCAAATTCAACATCTCATAAAAATAATATAATACACTTTTACATTCTATGAAACAATATTTAAAACCCACCGTTCAACATGCATAAAATGTAAAATTACCTAACATGAATCATTTTAACTTTCTAAAATCAGTACACAATTTGCTCGGTATGTACTAATAGTCTGATAGTTAAGAGTTAATATTTGCTATGACATCTATTGGTTGGAAAGAATTCCATTTTGTATGGAATTCGAAATGAAAAAACATATTCTGAAAATCAAATCTGCTTTAGAGATCGATTTCGTAAAGGCCTTAAATTATGCAAATATATTGTTTCAGTTTTTAGGATTCTTTTTTATGATCTCAGTCTTTGCATTATATGAAACCTATACTTATATAAAAAATCATCCTATTTACTAGAAATAGTAGGCAGAAAAGTCAAAGGTAATTAATGCTTGCTGGAAATAGAATGATATTAATTACAGATTTGTTTTGGTATTTATAGGCTTGACATTAAAGATTTGTTATGGGATAAAAATCAGAACCGATTTTTTTACCTTTACTGGAAAAGTCAAAGTAAGTATAGATTTGTTTTATCCCATAGCATCGGTTTAGTTAAGAAAATCCCATCAAATCAGTTTTATATGTCAAGCCTATGAATAAAGATTTAATCGGCCAAAATTAAATCCTTATTTTACGTCACCCATAAATAAAGTAGATGTCAAGCCTAAATTGAAGGGTTTAGTTGTCAATATAGTCATTGATTTACGTAAATACATCTAATGTTTAAAGTTTGTGTAGATTGAAAATTCTTTTTTATCTTTTTACAAAAAATCTTATTATTATTGTATGGAAAATCAAACTCATAATGTTGTGTACAAGGTGGTCTTTAATAATATATGATTGTTTGTTTGCCGAATACTATCTTATTGTATAATTTTCCTGCGTATTATAAAACTTTTATTGAATATTGCATCTTATAATATAGTATTCCTCAAATAAATATATCCCGTGCCTCGCACGGGTCACGTACTATATATATCCCGTACATTTTGCTGTATTCATGTATATAATTATAAGTCTGGATAAATAGCTTTAAAATTGTGCACCCCGTGCATCGTACGGGCTCTGTACTAGTACATATTAAACATGAGCTTCTTGTTTCCCAACTTCTGTAATCTGTATTAACCTTCAGTGGGCCTATTTGTATTTGTATTTATTAAAGTCTAATACTCTTGGCCTAAAAAAATTTAATAAACTAAGTAAACTATTACCCATTTATTTGGCCCAAACTCTGTGAATTGAGAAGGCAAATATTGAAACTGTGAATGCATAATGCTTGATTGCTTTGTTTCATTGTTTGTGCCTTTGCTGCCTTGCTAGTATTGTGGAAGCAGAGTGTTTTTTTAAGTGTGACAGTGAATCAGTTTAAAGTTTTGCACTCTTTTTTTTTATTCGTTTTGTCCCGGTCTCGATTGATACCGATCCGTTTGGGACGGGGTCTCGTCCCGAACCGTTCCCGGATCAGTTCATAAAAACGGGACACCGGGATAGGTCAAATCCCGGACCGTGCCCACCTCTATTGAATCCAAACTACGCATAAGAAGATGATTATGACACCATTAGCTCCAAGAATTTCTCTAAAATTCTATACTCAACATATGAGGCTGAAAATTGACAGACATAATCACAACTCATGCAAGACATACTCATAAAAATTTCACATCAATATCATGAGTGTAGATTGAGAAACCTTGAATCTAATAGGAGATTGACATGCTGAGACTCAAATATTTTTATCTCATTCAATACACATCATTAGAGGTTGAAATTCGATACACGTACTCTCAACACGTATATGAATATGTCATAAACATTTCAGACCAATAAAATGATCATAGGCTGAGATATATCAACTCAAAGTTGCAGTTAAAAATAGGGGATATGAAGCGAATTACACATCAGACTTCAAACAGTTCCACAACATGCTATACATATTTACAGGCCACCTCCATGATCCCCTTTGTTTGAGCCACCATCAAAGACGGATTACCCTCATTGTAGTTCAGTGCCGAATCAAGGTAGCCTGTAAATTTTCAGATCGAATGGGCAAGCATAACTAGGACAAAATTCGATTCAAAGTCGCTGAGTGTCGAATCAAGGTAGCCTGTAAATTTTCAGATCGAATGGACAAGCATAACTAGGACAAAATTCGATTCAAAGTCGCTGCAGTTTCATGGATACGAATTGTTCAAACTTATCCATCTCAAGGCATAATCTCATATATTCTATGGCTGAAACTAAACCAAAAGGAATATATAATCACATATATGTACACATAATTCTCAGCCAAAACTGAAGCTAAAAAAGCTCTGATGGTTACCTCTTTCCGGGCTTAAAATCAAGTGGAAAGATGGCTCGGTTTATAGGGTGAGCACGACTTTGGGACTCGATTGCTGAATATGGATGGTGGCCAGGGCTCAAACTTGGACTAAATGATGGTGAGAGGGATAATGAGATGCTGCTCTGAGAGAGCTTGGTCTCCGCCGGTAGTGCTCTCGATGTGGTGGCGATAGGCTTGCTGCGGGGAGGATAAATGCGAAGGGTTGGGGACTATTTGTTCTCTCACTTTTCTTTTGAAATCTCGAAAGTGAAATNGGGACTGATGGAATGGAGGCTATAAAAGGAGCCCTAAAGTTTGGGGTGACCAGGGAGTAGAACAAATGAGAAGGAGGAAAGGAAAATTCCTTAAGTATTCAAAGGAAAGTAAATGCAGATCAATGTGATATGAATTCCTACAATTAAGGTGCATTAAGAGGATAAAACGTGAAAAAGAGTGATGGAAAAATCTGATCAAAAAGCTTCTAAAAATAAGGCATTAAGCTATTTGAATTTTGAACTCCACAAGTCATAGACAAGGCACAACCATTGAACGGTTTTTGCTAAGACTTAGGGTCGAATTTTGCAAGGTCTTGGGCCGAAAATATGTAAAATATAATTTCTAAGGTTTGGATCGAGTGCCTAAAAAACGAGTCAAAACGGATCAAAAACGGTTCTACGCGATTGAACCAAAAATTGCCGAACGAACCTGCTAATAACTAAAATTAATTCTAACTATTCCATACACATAAAATAAAAATAAAATTAATCACATAATAATACAAGAGTAATGCAATTAAATTAAACGAGGACAATCACATAAAAACGAATAATTATAAAATGCAAGCAATATTATAAGAGCAGATTACAATATAAATGCGAGCACATAAAACAATAAACACGGGAAACTTGTTGCAAAACTCGAGGTCTCTCAACATTCAGATTCTCGAGGGCGAACCGGGCAATCTCCTCCTTATACGACTCTAGCTTCTCATGTACCGCCAACTACATTTATTTTTTTTTTTAAAAAAAAGAACACAAACATAAATAAACTGAATAAATAAATAAAAATAAATTATATAAGGTAAATGTTTTAGTTTAAATAATACTTCAGCGTAAAAAAATGTGTCTAGAAGTGTGGTTATTCTCAATTCCCATTGCACTAGCCGTGGTGGATATCTTACAGAGCAACGTGCTCAACTTGCACAACCTAATGTAGGGATTGCCTCGTAGCGCCATACTAAAAACGACCAGTGAAATTTGTAGATATGATGTTTCATCTTATGGTACTAGGTCGTCTGCAGCTAATCGAACATGTATTGAAACGAGTAACTCGCTCATGGGAAAGTCTCCCACATCTAGGTGTCTTCAAGCAAAGCCCATCAACAAGTTTCAATATTCTAGCTGTGTGAATAGTCATGACCAAGGATGAAGTACATCAACATTAACATCTTTGCGACTCTCATTATAACATCACGGGAGGCGCATAACGCCCCACTATTGAAGTTCTCAAGCGACTCATGCATACTAACCGGCTTGTCACCATACCATGAATAGAAAATCAATGATGGAGGAGGAGGAGACGTTGAGTTCGGGTCAAACTCGGTCACCACAGCATACTCTTGGGCTGAGAAGTGTGTAAAATGTTGGCCAATGCGAAGCTACATCTCGTTAGGATTCTGATTGGAATGAGTCATAGAACCCCATGAAGTCCCTTCGTAGAGACCTTAACCTTATCAGGAAACAGAGGAACCGACCAAAGACCGATGCTTCCAACTCCTCCAATGCCCCCTCATTGTTGGCCAACTCTTTCTTGATTTTACCAACAATGGAATGTCGGTTGTAGATGTTGATCTTCGGACTTTCATATCTACCGATCAATTTCGGTCTCTTGTATGACCACAAACCCTAGTTACCAAATAAAAACAACTATTACTTCATATTTCTTAACTATTAAAAATACATGAAATTAAATTAAATAGTACACCTCTTCGGAGTCGCCCACCGGAGGACCCGTGCTGGCAGCCGCTGAGTCGCCTGCCACTGAACTAATGTCAGCAATGGCTCGCTGGCTCTCTGCCTCTGATTCTCCTTCCGATGCTTAAAGCCTAAAATATTTAGAAAATTCATAATCCTGCATGTAGCTCATCTCTTTTAATAGTTTATTTTGTTTTAACTATGCGAAGTAATGTCGCAATATTGAAAGCCAATTTTTCATCCTTCTCTCTTTTTTGAATTTGTTCTCTAAGGATGTATGTGTAAAGTTGTAACAATGTAAAAATAAAAAGTAAAAAGAAATAGCTGGCATCTATAAGTGAAACACTTT